AAAGCGGGGGCAGGGCGGGTTGGGAATTTTTATACCCGGTCCCAGCCCCATCCCCAGTTTTAACAAAATGGAGATCCCCGACCCCGTACCCGGTACCCGTTTTGGCGGGGAATACCATCCTCGATTGAAATGGGTCAACCGGATTACCCACGGGGTCGGATGAAATTTCCATCCCTAAGCCGGAGATATTGGATCATCTAAGGAGAATTTCCAATCCAACAATCTTTCCACAATAAAGTGGAATCATCATTGCCAACCCCCTTTTTAATTACATTGCATGTAATAGTGTCCGAACCATGTAATTAGTTGTGCCAATAATTACATTGCATGTAATAGTGTCCGAATAGTGTCCGAACCATGTAATTAGTTGTGCCAATAATTACATTGCATGTAATAGTGTCCGAACCATGTAACAATCTTTCCACAATAAAGTGGAATCATCATTGTCAACCCCCTTTTTAATTACATTGCATGTAATAGTGTCCGAACCATGTAATTAGTTGTGCCAATAATTACATTGCATGTAATAGTGTCCGAATCATCATTGCCAACCCCCTTTTTAATTACATTGCATGTAATAGTGTCCGAACCATGTAATTAGTTGTGCCAATAATTTAAAGACTAAAGTTCGTTAAAACCTGATTTGACAAAAAAAAAATCAGAGTTATATATGCATTAACATTTAATATATTAATTGGTTAATTAATCCGAATACACCCCTTAATTAATCAAGGAATATTCTTTTTACCAAAAGAAAAATAAAACAACTCATGGATTCAATTATTATTATTTGTTTTAGGGACTTTGTTTTATTAGAATTTCCCCCAAAATCTAGAAAAACTACACTATTATTTATTTTTGATAAATAGATATTATTATTTTTTAAATATTTCACTGTATATATGGTCAACCGTCTTATTAAAACATAAACTTTAAATTATTTTGAAGAGAATTGATGAAAAAATATAAAAAAATTTGAAAGGCATAATATATATATTATTTGATCAATGACGTGTTTACAACTTTAAACTATTAATATCATAGGAGATAAACTCTATAAAAGACTATTATGACCCTACCACAACAAACTCAATCTATATAAGAGCATCCGTTTTAGAATGTTTCATACATCCCACTCTATATATCTTCACGTCTTATCTGGGATCCATAGCAACCACCATGTCGAGCACTGGTGGCAGCCGCAGACACTCCAACAAGACAACCCCCGGCAGCAGCAAACGGAATTCAAACATCGTCAACATCGAAGGCGAAGAAGAAGAAGATCACGACTACCAAATCCATTCCCACCAAACGCCTGATCCTCTACTTTCGGAAAACCCACTCCCTGGATTGAAGCGTCATGATTCCTTAGATATGGAGTCCGCTAAAATTCAAGGTCACCATGGTCACCATGGCACCAAGGTTAGTATCATATACAACTTCTCTTTCAAAATTTATTTACTTATTGTCAGTATATGAATCTCGTATTCCTGACCATGGCATACACTATCAAAATAATAATTTTTTTATGTATATTTGCATATGCATACCCTGTTTATAAGTTAGATCTGTCCTTGCTTGACGGATTCGATTTGGTTGCTAATTTTTTTAATTAAATTTTATGAAGGATTGGGGAGTGATACTCAGGCTAGCTTTTCAAAGCATTGGGGTGGTTTATGGCGACATAGGAACGTCACCGTTGTATGTGTTCTCAAGCACGTTTACCAACGGGATTAAGCATGAAGATGACATTTTGGGTGTTTTGTCCCTCATCTTTTACACCATCACGTTAATTCCTGTTATTAAATATGTTATGATCGTCTTACATGCCAATGATAATGGCGATGGTACGTACGCAGTTCACTTTCTCCCCTCTTAATTCATTCATGTTCTTCCAGTTTTTCCTTCTCTCATTAAACCAAAATATATAGCAACCCATATATAATGATTTCCAATACAGACTCGTTTTCATCGACTAAAATTGAGGTTTGCGATAAAATTTGGTGTCACGTACATGCCTTTTTCTTTGCCGGTTGCCATCTACAAAATGTTTAATATATAATAATGATTATATTAATAATAATAATAATAATAATAATAATAATAATATTCCAAGATGCTATGAACCATGAACCAAGGTAAGATTTAGCCTACCTAGGGTAGGAGTACTCATCTGACGAGTGGTATATTATAATATATGTTGACTACGCTTAAACCTAGAAATATACGAAAACAACTTCAAGTACGGGAGTTTGAGTATATCTATTTGATACCGAAAATATAAAAGTAGTTTCTTGTGAAAATATAAATATTTTGTTAAAATAAAAAACAGATTTTATCTTATAAAAATCAAACACATATAGTTTGAAAATTAATTTTATTAACAATAAATTAAAGATAATAAGTTTATATTGGAGGGTGTTATAAGAATACAGATTTAAAGGTGAATTTAACAACCTTTTTTTTCACGTCCTTAACAATTTTTAAATTCTTGTTTTCATAATAAAAATATCAAAAAACATAGGTTGCTAATATGAAACAATTTTCATGTATCATCGATTATCATCACGTAGTTTAAAGTTTGGATGGATTCTTGTCCAAAATATACGGTTCTGGTGTCATAATCTCATAGGTTTTTCTTTATTTTCGCGTTTTCGTAAATTATTTGCATTTTCGTATTAGTCATAT